CACTTCATCAACAGTTCAACTGTTGACATGGAGGTCATCTGCTGCCAGACTTTGAGGCTCTGGTACTTATTCTCCTTTTCTCTTCATCTCTCTCTCTCTATTGCTGATTCTCTTATATTAGTCTTCCCGTTTGAGAGTTTGTGTGTGGTGGATTGTTTGTGGCACTGTTTGTTTCTCAAGTCTCCTCTTATCCTTTCTTGTCATCAAGGTCCTCTAGTTATTTGTCTTTTCCTTTTCTTGTTGTCCTTCTTTCTGTCTTTGTTGTGTCTGAAATCTATTCTCTAGTTTTTGCCTCAAGTTATAACATATTTACAGTCTCGACGGTCAGAAAACATCTAGAGGATCTCAATGGCCGATATTGAAGGAGCCGCCGGAAAGGCAAATATTCCCAAGTTGGACAAAAAGAACTTCTTACACTGGTCCATGCGAATGAAGGCACATCTCCGTCATTGAGGCCTTATCAAATAAATTCTTGAAACTCCTACCCCTCTCTCAGTAGCAGTAGCCAAAGCCGTTGCCAAAAAGCACGCCGAAACGGTTGACATCCTGATGAACTACATGACCGAAAACGTCTTTGAATCAGTAATTACTCCGGATAACGAGGAAAGTCCTCACCAAATCTGGACGTCAATTACCAGCCAATTTGCCTCCACCTCTGTCAACAACAAGGGACACGTGTGGTTGAAGTTCATGAGGTACGAGTTCAAAGGGAACCTCACCGAGTTCATAACAGACATGCATAAGATGATCACTGAGATAGCTGTATGAAAGCTTGGTGTACCCAACAACATCCTCAGTTTCTCCATCCTAGCCAAACTCGATGAAGACCTCTACAATGTGGTCAACAATATCATCATGAACAAGGTTATCTGCAAAAGCTCCTCAGCCACACTCACTAAGCTCCAAGAAATTGTACACTTGGAGGAATCTAGGAAGGTCAAACATAAATCCTTGACCATCTCCAAGGCAGCAAATGAGACGGCTGAGAACGTGTTGGCTCTTATTCACAAGTCATCAAAGAAAGGAGTGAGGAAGAAAAAGCAAGATCCTTATTGCAAACCAGGAAAACACAACCCAGCTGCAACTAGTCACGATGCATATCACTGCTATCAACTTCACCCACATCTTCGCCCACCTCAATTCACAAAACAATCTGAGAAGGCTAAAACTCAATTGATGGAAGTTGATGACGGACATGAATCTGAATTCTCTCTTCTTCTAGTCAAATCCGAAAATAAGCCAATTGTTCTGGACTCTGGCCACATGGTAAATGACCCGGTGTGTTTCACACCAGTTGCGGAAACCAATGTGAAAATCTCTACAGGTGGTCACAGCAATTTGTTGTACGCAACCGCAATTGGACAAGCGACATTGGTCAACCAAGAAGGAAAAACCGTCATTCTAGAGACTACTTTCAAGCTCTTCTATTCCAATAAAGAGAAGTCTGAGACTGTGTGGAAGGAAATAACCTCATCCAAGGCCTTCAAATAATATTTTGCTGCTTGATTGAATAGTTATGTAGAGTTCATAGAGAAGGTTGTATTGGAATCCAACAATCAGTTCACTAGTACCTGTCCTCTCATCCGAGATTACGCCAGAGCTGGAACCCCAAAAATCAAATGGCTTGTTGACCTCCTGTGTTCACCCTCACTACCCCAGTTCTAAAGATTTGGGTTATCACATCTCCAATTCAACATTCTTCAATTAATGGATTGATTCAGCAGCCAACATGGGGAAGGATGAGTACACATGTGCTTACAACTGAGGAAGGAATCCCCTGGTGTTGTTTAAAATTGAGCTACTGCCTCAGCTGAAGCCCAAAACCACCTGATAGTAGTCAAGGCAGCTTTGAATGCCTCCTTGTCCAGGTTTTGTATCCAAAATTCTAACAATCCTGATCTTGAAGTCTTTCCTAGTGCTTTTGAAGATTCTGTTGACTTTTACATAGAAAAGCTGTACAAACAGCATCTTCCAAACAAAAAATACAACACTGAATTTCTGTTTTTCATCTCCCCTTGTAATCCCAATCAATAAATCCTCTTGAACATTGGTGCTTTACAGGCGTAGGCTTGCGCTCTGGTGAGTCCACATTGTTTCATTCTTGACCTTTTTTTTGGGGGGGGGCACTAGTTTTTGTTTTGTCATCCAATTCCATAGAACTCTGGTACCCTGGGTGTGTTGAGCAATTCTTCACCTGCATCACTGCCGTAACTCAACCTAAGCTCCAAAAAACGCAAGATAAATTTGTCTTCTGGGTCCGGCAAGAGAAGCAAGATGGGTGAGATAGTAATGGCTCTTCTGGCTGAAAAAAAAGACAAGTCTTCCTTGGAAAACAAATGGGGAGATATCTCCTTGTCTTCTGTCTCAGGTAACATGGAATCCTTTGGTATTGAGTCTGGTACCAACAACATTGCTGCCTACCTTGAATTTGTCAAAATACATCCCTCCAAGAAAGACAAAGTGGTGGACATTCTTGACACCAATGAAATCACCACCTGCAATTGTTTCAAATCCAAAAGCATCACCCACAATCCCAAGAGTAAGTGGGGTCTCAGTGATGGAATCATAGCTCAATTAAGAGACAACATCTACAATTATGAGCAAAAAATAATAATAAAAAGATTTATTACTTATTCAATTGTGGGATACTGTAATTTATGAATAAATCAATTCACCTCTGAGTTTAATATTCATTTTCTTTTTATCTCACATTTCTTTGTACAAAAAAAGAAGAAGTGAAATCCACTTCTCTCTGTTTCATATTTTGGCTTTATTTTTAAACTAAAAGTATTGCTTTAATCTTCTGTGATGCACAACACTGAGAGGAATATTTAAGAAACACTGAAAACTTATAAAAAAATGGGGAGACATTTTAGGGAGTGCAGTCCAATAAAATTACAAGATTCAATCAAAATAAGCTTCCTTTTGATAGCCACAGTGATCATATACACTGCATCAAAAATCTTTGGTCATTTATTCTACAGAGACTTGATGAATTGTCCGTCGGGGGTCTAAGGCATGATTAATATCTTGATTACTTTGGTACTTAATCTTGATTGCAGCAAATCCGAGCTCAGGACAATATGGCGGCAGGTGGATTATGTGTACTCGTGCGGCTTGGAAGATACTTTTGACTTTCTTGCCTCAGTGTATTGCTGTGTTGCCTAACACCATCACTGAATTATTGCCTGGGTAAGGAGTCATTTGAGGAATCTGCATCAAGTTCATGTATTAATAGAATGAAAAAATGATCAGATTGTATGACATGGCTCACCAAGTAATACTTCAAGAATTTTTCAAATTTTGGTTTGTTGAATTTGTCCATTGTCGTGGCCCAATCGAGATTGCTGGCATCAAGCTTATGCAATTGGGGTTCTTGTTGGTTATGAATCTTGCGGCTGGGGTTCCTTGAGTAGAGTGATTGAATATTTGCAAGAAGTCTCTATTGCAAAACAAACTCTCATCTTTGTCCAATTGAAAAAAGAAGTTGTTTCAGTTTTTTTTTTGCCCAATGAAAAAAGCAAGACACACCTGTACAAAACAAGCCAATTGGCTGGAAAGAGACACATTCACACAATGAATTTGTACCTTGCCACCAAAACTTTTGTTGGAATTCCAACTCTTCCCTCTCACCTTTCTTTTGTTTTCCGCTTTCTTGCGTCATTAGCATTATAGTAATAAAAAAGAAGTCTGATACGTGTCTTTTCTTCACCCCCTTATCTCAGTAAATTAATTCTTGTTTCTTGACTCTTTCTCAGCTGATCATGAAGAATTAACACCCCTTCCTGTCTGTGATGTCTTTGTTTCTGATTCAGCTTATCTAGTCTTAGCACTAATTGCTCTTCTCCATCTGGTCTGTCTGGTCTGAATTCAATTCATCTCTCAGTTGTTTTTATTCAATTTTATTTTATTTTCCTTCTTTCCCAACCACATTTTGACCTGCTTGTACATAGAATATTTAACTAGACTAAATACAAGCAATCTGCTTACTGGTTCTCTACCTTCATTTTCCACAAACCCTGTGCCAGTCCGGTGACTCTACTTGAGTATCTCTGTCCCCTTCTAAAATTTCTTCATCCCTTCCATCTTCAACTTCAAGCTCAGAAAGCCAAAAACTCAAAAATTTTGCAAACATTAGAATTTTTGGCCTTCTTGAGTGTGATGGATAGTCTGTTGACAAGGTTGTGGTGGATGGCTTTGATACTGAAAAGTGTTCCGCATGAATCATAAAGACACTCACACATTTCACTTAAGAAGAATAATCTGGGCTCCATCCACAGCAACTTGATGACAAAGTCAATCTCCTCACTAGTGAGGGTTGTAATTGGTCCATGGGTTGAGTAGGTTTCTGGGTTGTGTACCATGCATTTGGCCTGCTTGAATAAGTCCATCCAATGCTTAAAATATTGGTGAGGGATGGAATAGCCAAGCAAGTTGCAAATGGACTCCTGGGATTGGCTGTTAACTGACATTTGTACCACTGATATCTTGATAGCTGGTGCATGAAATTGGAAGACCATTGTGGGATGAGGGGGCAACAGAATTTGTGTTAATTTGATTCTGATTGTTGGGCTGGTGGTGGATTCAAGGGTGTACTGGGATGCAAGCCAATAGCAGAGCTGTGTAGAGACAGTAGCTCAAGTTTGTCTGGAGAGTGTGGGCAGAAAGTCATGGCAGAAACTGCCACTGGTCCCATAACCCCATACTTCTGCAGCACAAAAAAAGACTTCTGTCCAAGGTTCATGAGAAAGACAACATGTCAGCAAGGCTGCCCAGCCAAATCGAGTGGCAGGAGGGGATAAACATTAATTGGACTTGCTGACAAGGGCCCTAATGAACCAGGCCATTAGATTTGTCTAGCTCATGTCAGCTTTATATGTATGCATAAGAACTGTTGGAGCACCACCAATAGTGCAATAAGATAACTGGGGCATTCGTGACAAAAATCTCGGTGCGTCGGAAACACAGCTCCAGCACGAGAGGCCTTTGAGAAGGGCGAACACTCCCCGCGGGGCTCGAACCCGCAGTCTTTGGATCACACCGGAACGGTAGAAGTCCAACGCGTTACCATTACGCCAGGGGAGCATACCGAAGGTTGAGATTTGGGAATTCAAAACCTCCCATGTAGTGATTAATTGCGCAACCGGAACGAGCAAGTGGAATTAACAACCCCACATTGACATGTATCAGAGACCCAACAAGGAAGCAGTTGGATTCCCATGGTGTCAACATGGGGAATTTCCGGTAAGAGGGGGGACGGTCGCATCCAGTATGTGCCAATTGTGGGTAGATGAATAGGGAGAATTTTTGGAGACAGAGGGCGAGAAAAAAGGATGATCAAAGGAGAAACGGGGAAGGACATGAAACTGGTGAGGTGGAAGTCTTTTCAGGAGGAGCTTGGATATTCGGAGATCTGATCAAGACACCAGCCATTCTTGGGCCAGTCTTTCCGACATAGGCATAAAACCCAATACTCAAGTTTAAAACCACAAAAAAAAACCGGTCTTCGAAGAACACACCGGCAGATGAGGATAGACAGCAGGCCAAAGGACGCAACTGTACAGAAAACTCAGGAGAGTGCGAAATCCCTCCTTCCCCACAAGATTAAAATGAAGGAGGGAAAAGAACAGAAAGGGCTGAGGGTGGATGGCCGCTCTTTTAAGTAAGCATGTGTTGCTTCTAATTTATTGGTATGGATTGCTCATTATCACCGTCCTGCCATATTGCTTAGCGCTTGCTGCCGCTGCGAAGTCATCAAGAGATTAGGGTTCACTATGCGTTTAAGGCGACGTTGTACTCGAAAAGAGGGGGATAGAGGGACACCTAAAGAAAGTTTCACTAACGATCTGCAAAATTGTTGCCCGATGTTCCGGGGAGAGTGCATCGATTTGTTGTGGTGTTAGCGACAAAACTTGCTGGATTAGTTGAGCCTGCTGGGCGGCGGCGGCGGCGTTCTGTGGGGGCTGCTGTACTGGCGGGGGCTGTTGTTGTTGAGGCATAACTGCCGCGGGTTGAACTGGAGGGGGGACAGCTTGCTGTGGCATAATCCCGTAATTCGGAAGAGGTGTGATAGGTGTAGGATATTGGGATTGCTGAGGCATGCCGGTTGACCTCAAGGGCTGTTGTTGGTAGGCATTTGCACTAAAGCCAACTGGCATTTGGTGGGATGGCATCGCTGCGAGTTGAACTGGCTGTTGCTGTTGCTGCTGTTGTTGTTTTTGCATTGCAGCTGGTGCAAGCATACGGGTAAGAATGGAAGCGTCCACAACACCCATCATCAGCATTGCTTGGAACAATGCATATGTTAACTGAGGGTTGGCGTTAAGCAATTGTCTAGCTTGATCGGGGGCACTCGCGACAAGTTGCTGCCATGAGAGTGAATGTAAATGCGGTTTCAGTTCAAAGAGAAAGCGTCGGCAATAATAAAATAAGCCTTGATGGGCCGAAAGAATGACGGTAGAATCACTGACCTTCATTTGAGCTGTGATTTCAGCTAGCTGAGCCGGTGGAATCGCAGCCAAGGTTTGCGAGATTTGATCGGTGGCAGTTTGACCGGCAGCCAAGGGTTGGCCACGCGGTAAGTCAGGGGGCAATCCGGTTGAAATGGGTCCGGCATTCCGCGCGGAGGGTCCATTGGGTTCATTAGGTAAGTTGCCCCCACCCGCTCGTCTACCTTTTGGTGGAGGTGGTCGACCACCCGCGTCCCGGGTATCGTGATTACCAACGTCGGCAAAATCAAGTCTTAAAGCTCGTCCACCGATCTCGATCCCTTGTAGGTTTCGAATAGCAGAATCAGCAGTTTGGGTATCTGATGAAGATATAGCCGATTTCAAAGATAGAAATCTCAGTGATTGAATTAAGATGTTCGAAAGAGGGGCGGGCTCAGGGAGTTTGAAGTTTTGAGAGAAAACGGGAGGGGCGCTGACCGAAATATTCACAAAATCCAAATCCGCGTGGTTTTCCCGTCTCCTTCTCGAACGCGATTCTAAAATTCGACACGGGTCTTTGAAAGGAGATGGAGATCAAGAATTTTGTGCACGATTCATTAGCTAAGTCTCAAGATGGGCTGGACGAAAAACGGCGAGCCAAAAAAGCGAATCTCGAATCGGTCGTCTCAAAAAAGCAACTTGCCCCACTGTTCCGAAAACTTGTTCCAGTTGTTTTTGCAATCTGATAATTTTTCACAGAAGAGAAAGAAAATGAATGCAAAGAGACACAACAAGAGTAAATTGAGACGGCGAAGGCAATCGAGAAAGCAGCAAGCATATTACTGACTCGTCCGAGTGAGAATATGGCAGATTCCCGACAAAGACGATCTTTGTCAGTCCTGCCATTGACAAGGGGTCACTGAACGGCGGAATGGTGAAGGATTTGAATGCGATTAAGGTTATTGGATCCCGTAGAGCTCGGCACGTCTGGTGTTGTGGTTGAGGCGGTTAAGAGATGGTGAGTGGAAGGAAGTGTGTGCGGAATCCTCGTGACTGCCCCATATGTCGATTACGTAAGCCTCGTCCGGCAGAATGAAATCCCCCTTCGTGACCCTTGTGGCAACTGCAAAGTATAAAACAACGCCAGAAAACAAAAGCAAAGTAGAAAAAATGACTTTTCTGTTGCCATACTGCATTTTCCTATTGAGAAATAAATTAAGACCAGAAAATAAAAGGTATTCATGAAACATTGGAAAGAAAAAAAGTTTGAACAAAGTAAATCAAATAGTGGTGTAAACCCCCCTCTTCCCTTGGGGTTCACAAGGTGTCACAACCACCTGTCACCAACTTGTAGATAGCCTAGCCATCCTTCATCCCAGGCTCAGCAGAGAACTGACTTCCTTTTCTCTGAGCCAGGTAAGCTTGTCTCTCTTTATTTTCTCTTTCTCTTTCATTCCTCAGAGAGAACTGACTTCATTCTCTCTGAGCCAGTGCAATCAAACCTCCCCATGTTTGGTCCTAGAACCTCTTTGGCTCATCAGCCCATCTCATCTGTGCCATCCGACCAAGATTCAGTGAAGGACTAACAGAGTCCTTACAAGTGGATGCTGGTAATGGAGCCAGAGATCAAAAGTTATTCATTTTACCAAAAAAATCTGGAACTAAATGATATGCAAGGAATAAACTCATGTAATATAGCACCAAGGTCAACTGATGTCACAACAGGGGACAAAATTTTTGGAACTTGCTATACAAGTGCCATAAAAAGTACATTAAAGGGTTCCTTTGTACTTTACATGGCACTATCTATACAGGCACCAGAGATATTCCCTTAGATTTATTTTTTCTTTCTTTTTAATTCCATATGAGTCTGTATTTGCGCTCAAGAAAGTTAGGTTTTGTAATGTGTGAAGAATTGGGGGGAATCAGTTGGCAATGACTTTGACTGGCATGCTGGGTGACTGGTGGTAAAATTTAAGTAAATAATCTCCTCATCCTTGTTAATCTGGGGATCACTAAATGTTACGGTCTGATCTGGGGAGAGGAAGAAAGATCCGGGGGCTGGGGTTCTGGGGTTCTGGATTGCTGTGTTCTAGTTGGTTGATTGCAGGATGAGGGAAAGGATTGGATCTCCCTCCTTGCGGACTATGAGTGTGATGTCTGTGACATGTACATGATAGTCTTGGTACATATAAGAGTCCCTGCGACAGCTCATAAAATTATCCCCCCTTCAATGCCCAAGCCTCCCCCTGGCAATTCAATCTGCTGAAAAAAGAAATTTTCCACCTCTCTTTGCTCTGAATTCCCTCCTTAGGAAGCATTGGAAAAGCCAGTGGCAAAAGGCTTGCCCTCTCACTTTCTTCTCCATCTCTGCCGGTACTTGGTTTCCACCTCCGGGAATCTTGAGTTGAATTCCCGCAAGGTTCCCGCAGTTTGTCGAATTCCCTGCCGTTTCCCAGGAGTTTTCCTTGGGTGTGAGCTTGCGCTTCTTATGTGGCAAACAGGAAGAGGTGAATGAAGAGAATTCTTAAAGAATAAGAAATAAAAGAGGTTAGCCTGAAAGGATACTCACTTTAGATTTTATTCCTGACACTTTGCAGCAGGAGGGATAAAATAAAAAGTGTGAAAATTTTCATCTGTACAAGAAGAATAAGGAATTTTCAGACAGTTTTCCTGTATCTGGATACGTGGGGGGTTGTGGGAGAGTTGGGAATGAATATATGCATTTTTGTGGCGTGCGCGCGCAAAAATAAAGTAGATTTAAATTTGGAAATTAATATCAACACAATTCTTACTCAACATTGAGGTAAGAGTAGGAAAAAAGGGTCAATAATCGATGTGGGTAAGAATTTGAGTATATTCAAGTAAAAAAAAAATTATAATGAAGCCTTTTGGGCAGTATATAGTTGTTATATACTGTCTCTAAGGCTGCAATTGGGTCTGAATCACTTCCAACTAACAAGGTATTGAATTTTATTCTGTTTCCATCTGCCGTCTACAACCCTCCACTTAACATTTTTCTCTGCCATCCACTATGACTGGTTTGGGTTTCTGCCTTCTCCGCTTGGCTATATCATTGGTTTTGAATTTGTAGAGTACCAAACACTTCAAAAAAAAACTTGCTCAACTGCCTGCAGTTGACATGCAGAAAGTCCCAGGAAGCTTCTGTTGTTACTCCAANGTAGTGGTCGAGATTGAGAATGTAGATTGCTAACTGGGGGATGTACAAAGGTGTGGAGGCTGGAGATAATCCCTCAGTTGGGAAACCCCTGGCAAGTCCCAGAGGGGGTTACAGGATCATAACATGACCATGGAAGAAAATCAATTATATCACATGGCCCCCTCCTTCCAACTCTGTATACCACTTCCCCTAAGACCTGCTCATCTGCATCCACCTAATTTCTGTTCACTTTGGTCGTTTCTTCCATTCCATCCACCTAGACTCCGTTTCTCCAACACTTTTGCCTCACTGTGTTAGAAATTCCACTCTTCAAACTCCTCTCTAAATTTCTTTTCTTTCTCCCATGTCACTACTTTTTATGACTGTTCAATTTACTATCTTTAATTATTCAAACTTTCCTTGATTGAGAGACCAACAAGTTGGCCAATCCTGTATTTAGCCACAGAACTCATCTTGGACTTCTTAACAAGAAAAAT